TGGGAAAGAGAAAGAGTACTGATACCGCCATTTCCCAAAAAAAAAATAAATGCTGATAAATTAGAGGATTACTCACGGTGCTGCACCCTGTACGGTTCCACTACGACCTATACAAGTCGCACAGTGCGCCCCTGAGCTAACTGGGCGACCAAATCTTACACGAACGCTTTACAATGTCCTTTCATTGGATATTGAGGCCAAGGCGGTGTATTGGCAAATGGCACGCTTACCAAGCGCGCGGCTCGGGGGGCGAACCCGAATAGGCTCTCGCCGCAAACTGATACCAGATTCGTCTGGGAGGATAAAAACACTGACTTGTACATCTGGCCCCCGAAACTCCGCCATATTGCGTTCTATAAGCCACTACGATCCTGAAGTAAGTAGAAAGCGTGCCTCAGAAAGAGATTCATCAACGGCGAAGACTTCATCGCTTTACCCTTTTATTACAGATTTACATTCACAAACCCAACAGAATATATCTAAAAACAATAACAAAACAGAAATAACAACAGATAACAACTGTTAACAACTTTGCAAGATGAGGCACCGTGAAACCCTCCGATCCTTCAACAGCACCAATGGCGAATAAACCTATTGTAAAGGTTCCTGCTTCTTCCGTTTTGGTCGCCATTTCGCTTCAATCGTCGCTTTTATCGATTGCACATTTTCTACAGCTATCGACTTGTCGCTCATGCCTTCCATAACATACAGGACCTATAGTTGCGATGAAGTTCAGGTCTATCACGGCGAGCAAGGTATACACTGGAAATTTCTGGGATGCGGTAGGCGTGGCTGCGTGCTTGAACTGAACGTGGCAGTGGCCAACGAGAGATAATCTTTCGTGAGATATTTTCATATTGAGACGGCCACTGCCATGTTCTAGTGCCACGCCTACTCCATCTCAGGGATAAGGAGTGTAGTAATAAGAAGTACTCACCACTCGAGCCGTCATACGAACACTTGCTAATGCGACTAGATGTGATTTCCTTGAGGCATCCCCTTTAGCACTTCGACAGTTTTTCCTTTCATTTTCGATAAGAATTGAATAGATTTGCCCCAAATAGCACTGCTCCCACACACTCAAGTCTCGATTCTGAAATTTGAAGCTTCCAAATGTACCGGGAATTAAAAGGAATGAATTTTGCGGGGGTTCCTCAAATGCTAGTGCTCTACCCATTGCGCGTAACGGGTAGCGCGAAAGCGTAAGGTGCAGTTTTTTTTCTCCCGCCTGCGGTCAATACTTTCAGCCCTAACTGAGCGTTTTTGAGATCACTGAGACCCTTGTGTTCTGTCCTAGCATCGCAACTGGTGATCACAATAAGAAATCAAAAAATGTCCAATCTACACGGTCTGGACAACCTGCCTTCGATCGGCCTGGTAGGAAATACGGTGATGCGCGCCAGCAGATTGGTATGAAAATAATGGCCCTTTCCCAGAAAAAATTTTTTTTTCAGAGTATACAAAGCTGTGCGTAGTGGAAAGATGTACTGCATGCTACGATGTGCCAAACTAACAGATCCCTCATCATTACGGACCGTCGGGGCGGCACAGCCGCGCTGCAATGTGACGGCGAATAGCGGCTGCGGCTCGGCTGGATATGAAAATCGAAGTCAGCAGGCAATTCAAATTGTTCAGAACTCACCTTCCACTTTAGAAGCTTGAAGAGCTTGAAAAATTAGGGAAGCTTGCAGGCCCGAATACCATCGAAACAGCTCATTCCCGACCGAGCCGCGCCGCTGTCGCGCGTCACAGCGCAGCGCGGCTGTGCCGGCCCAACAGTCCATAATGATGAGGACTGTAGTTGAGTACTTCCTAGTTGAGTCCCTTCACATACAGTACTGCTGATGCGTTGAGTCGTTTAGTTCCCGCTATGATTGTCGTGCTCCAGTGACCCCTTCCCCTCGCCTCAATTCCACGACCTCTTGCCGAACCTCACTCTTAGCTAGAATGGAAGCAAGCATGCATCCCCGTCGACTGTAAACGCTAGAGGTTAGAGAAGTCAGGTTCGGCGCGGCTTCAGCGTTGAAGCGAGGGCAAGGCGATAAACATGGTATAACGGCTGCATCCGCCATCCGAGCCCCTTGAATCCTTTAGAGTCGCTGCAGCGAAAAGGCGACTCACTGTCTCATTGAGGAAAATACAACTTACCTTGATGATAGAAGCTATCCATGTATGCAGAATTCATTCTGTAGAACAAATCATGAGCTACAGAAGGCATTCGAACAGCAGCTTTCAGTATACTGAGAATCAGTCGACGTGATACCATATCAATCATACATGTTGGGAACAACGCCAATAGCAGTTTTATACCGGAGCTATAAGGATAAATATACCGCCACGCAACTACCCAGTCAATACCTACTGCAGATTGCTTATGCTGATAGCTATCCAATGACCTGCTGCATAAGAGAACCAGGTAAATAGTTTCCAGCATAGGACCCGAAGAACAGTTTTTAGGTGCTAACCTAGTTAGAGGGTCATGCTGTAAGAGTAGGTCGATTATGACGACTCTGGTCATCTGTGCTCCACCTCTCACCAAGGGAGTGATCCCTTCTTTCCTCCAGCCGCCCGCCTTCTATTCTCAAAAGGAGCGCACTGCCAGAGTTGCCGGGTCCAAAAATCACCGCCTAGCCCCCTCCAACATGGTTAGCGCTCACTTTTCCGCGTTGAGCTTAACACCCCCACCATAATGCCTAGATCTCTAGCATGTCAGTAAGTCCGTTTCGTTCGGATTTGCAAGTGAAGTCTGGGCGCTGTACATGCAGTGAGCGTTAAGGAGATAGGTCACCATGCGCAGCTCAGTTTTTCGTGCCGCTGCAACTCGTGACACACTTCCATTTCGCGCAGACATCACTCGAAATTTATCCCCTTTTATCAGAGGAACCTTGAAAAAACTCTTCCTGCCCCTGGTCACAAAATAAAACAGTAAAAGCTTCAGAAAAAAAACGACAAACGTTGAAAAACGCACCGATTCTGAAGCACGTTGTAATCCTTCGGTTCGATGAGACCTTCTAGAATCAGAGTCAACATCCATTCACGTTCTTGCTTGTGGTAATCTGTCGATGAGCTCAACAGCATTTTATAAATTTCTGGGACCTGAATTTATGTGAAGATTACAAATCCTTCACAGGTAGTAAAAACATGAATGAGAAATGATTACATTGCTCAGATCGATGACAGGCTTCAAAATGAAGAAAGAAAGGACTGCTGTGTAGACTGGCGATTCAGGGTGAAGGATCAACTTCGAAACTCGAGCAAAGAAATGGGACACCACTGAAACGAGGCTTTCCGATAATACTGGAGGAATTCACAATCCAATAAAAGTAAAAGTAAATTTTGCAACTGTCTTCCTTCCCTCGACAATTTCATGAATCGAACGGGAAAATTTACTCATGTAAAAAACAACAACACCATCCTAAGACTATACCTCCTACGCAAGACCGTCTCCCTGGCGGTCTGGGCCTAAGCCTTGGTTAGGGGAGGAGACAGAGGCGCTGCTAAATGCTCCTTCCCAAAGCGGCGAAGTGGGCAGCAAACTTGAGACTACCGGAGCCAGAGAAACTGCATGCTGCGATACCAGACAGCACACACTCTAATCATCTACGCTCTGCTTTGTAAGGCTGAACCTGCGAGAGCAAGGATAACGTTAATTGGTGGGAGGATGCAGGCTATAGTCGTGCAGCCACGGAGAGGGGATACATGGTTAGTTACGAGCCGCAACGAGTGCAGTGAAGAGGGGCTGCAAGCGGGGTGAGTGCGCAACAATCGCATCGGGACCCAACCCACTTGACGAGGCGGCATTCCAGCAAGTCGACTTTCTTTGTGTCTGTGACGTCGATCCAATCAGGAAATGCTGGGAACTAATATTCATTCCCTCGAGTTCTCCCTCACCTCCAGTATCTTCATCAACTTAGTCCTACAAAAAAAACTAACTGTGTGGTAATCTCGGGCGCCTTCTGCTTCGATACTCGTTTAAAATACGTATAAGATGAGAAGAAGATAGGTTTATATAACGGTCAGCAGCTGTGTCGACTATCGATGTTCCTGAAATCACACACACTCTCCCTCAGGCATGACAATCATACCAAGGCAGCAGCAGCGACTCACGGTGCAGTAAGGACAGAACTTCTGCCAAAACACAGTAAGCCAATCTGCGAACAATGACATCTTTAGATGATGTGCACGAAAATGCCAGAGCTAATCCGTTCCGTTCCACAAATGGGCGGTATTTTAACTTGAAAAGAAGGATATTACTAGTGTTCATAGCAGACAGACTTGCTAGAAGGTTCTTAGGTTCAGTGCTTCTCTGGTACTGGTCTAGATATCAAACGTTGCTGGCTCGCGTGATTAGGCGCGCAGTCGCGAAGAGGCTACTCTCTTGAGGCCCCACCTACAATCAAACTAGACGCGTATCTTGTCCACGTCTACTGATGTCTACTGATACTAAACAGCCAATCCTAGTTTGAAATTCGCTTGACGAGGGGAGCAACCTAAAGGGTGCTCGATGTCTACCAGTCTACTTATTCTATGAAAAATTCGGGCCCAGTCCACAAAAACCGGAGTGAACGGTCAGTTGCCATGACTGTGGGACAGTAGCCGTTTCCGCACCCCAGCGCTGCAATTCCCAAGCGAGACATCATGCCCTCGTCTTGGTGGCCACGCGGGTAACCTAAGGGCTAATTACACTGTAGTTCGCTGCGGATGAGAGGGCGCTTCCAAACCGTTTTCTGCCATTTGATGAAGAGGGTTGATGCCCACAGGTGATATACAACTACATGGGATAAAGTCCCTTGGTTCGCTACGACAACTGATTGGGAAACGCGCAAACGTATTCCGCCGGCATGCCCCTTCGTCCGCTGCGAACGACTAAAATTGCCCTAAAGTTTGTTACCAGAGGAAGAAGCCCACATGTATCGACAGCCGGTACCTACACTTCAACGGAGATTCTGCACAAAATAAATGGGAATATTTGGTGCAGTTCGGCTCGGTGTGGGCGCCAAATGGCACTCAGCAAAAGGACAGGCGACCTTTGAAGACCAGTAAATTCCTGTTGCTAATTCGGCTGTTATCGCGCAGCTCAGAAGAGTTCATAAGACTCAGACAAAGTTGACCAGTCAATTAACATGAATATACATAGGAGCTAGAAAAACTACAAAGAAACCTGCTCCATTCCCGAGCCGAACCAGCGGTCGAATTATCTCATAAATGTACCCCTCCCAAATGTCTCACAATTAAGTCTGCACATGAGAAAACGCATACCTACTATCAGGGTGCATCACATACTCAAGAATAAACGAGAGAAATCGGACGTCATAAAGAATTTTACTATCAGGAGTCTCTTCATCCACATCAGTCATTACTGTCCTCGAATGATGCAGGACAGTCATCCACATACGTAAACCATCTAACAACTCCAGTTACCTGAAACGAGCGCCGCAGAGTTCGTAAAGAGTCCAGGGTCCGTGGTATCTAAGTTAAACCTGTCCGGAGTAAGTACGATGAGGGTTCCTCCATACTGGCCACGCTTTTTGTAAACCTCCACAGACTTCTCTCCCCAGACGATAGGTGAAATGATACTGGAAACAAAGAACTTGTTTCAAAACTATTTTGGGCTAGATCTGATTGAAAAGAAAAAGCTCACTTCATATTAACCTTGTACGTATTCTCCAGCAAGTCTAAGGCTTCATAAATTGTACGATCTTCTTCAGACGTGGTTGCAGTGTAGGACGCCATTATTTGGGTCAAAAATTGAAAATCCACTCCTTTCAAAACTTTTCTCGTGCAGCTGTCTAAAATGAGAACATTCGCGAGCCCACAAAAAAAGGAGAAGCAAGACAAGTAGAACACGCTCACGTCATCTTTCTGACTACGCAAATAGCTCAAGAGCGTCTTTCTCCAGTCCTTTCGTCCGAACGGATTCAAAACGGATTCCTTTACTGAGCTCCAGTCTAAAAAGAACTCACTGATTTATGAAAATACAGACCTACTAAAAATAGTCGGGAATCCTATGAATTTTGGTGAACATTCCTCGATGCTGAGGAGTGGATATGTAGTAAAGCGCATCGGGAGCGTACCGGTAGATCTACGATGAGATCACTCGACAAAATCGGCACCAATATCGAGAGCGCTAGGAACGTTTTCACATTAGGGGCAGGATAATCCCACTATAACCTCCACTGTCCGAATCTTAGGACACTATCGAGGAAGGTTAGCCCGGAAAATGAAACGACCAGCCTAAACAGACCTATGGCTGTAGTACTCGTTCTAATAACCCTGCCTCATAGCCCGCTGCCTGTTGTGTGAGAGCGTGCGCAAGACGAAGTGGCGAGCAGGCTTCGTCCGTCGTCAACTAGCTAACAAATACTAGATGACTGCTGTACGTCCCCGCACGCTGTACGATTCGTTTAAGTAATTGCGGCAACCAGTCATTTGATGCTTGATAATCCTTGATTTCATAAATTGAAAAGATCGCTTTGCTTCAAAACTCAAATTTAAACCTCAAGTGTACCGACATGGGGGTCAATCGGATACTCAGCTAGACCGTAAGGTTTGTCTAACTATAGAGAACGCTTCTGGCTGCTCAAATAACAAAGATAGGGTGGTTATTGGCACACACAGAGTGAAGAAAAAGCAGAAAAACCATTGGAAATGCCCCTCCAATTCCATGCTGAACCGCGCTCGTACGCGCATGGGACGTGGAATGGTCTCATCGGAAGGGTTCTCACTCGTGCTGGCTTCTTCGCCTTATCTCACTATTTGAAATTTAGAGAGCCAGGACAATCCTTTCTAAGGAAGGCGCCTGAACATTAAATGAACGGGGGCGTGTCTTTAAAGGCAGCTGGCACGATAACTGAGTGCTCGACCCAAAATGCTAGGAGGGCGCTATATAGTGGGAATGGCGAAAAACGAAGTGAAACGGTCGAGAACCTGCAAAGAAAAGCCCTTCGCTCTTAATGACTCAACAAGTAATTTCGACGAGTTTCCCGGCATCCTGCCAATGACTGCTATAGTAGATACGGCTGCACGTATGTACACATATCATGCAGCAGCGCAGCCACTTCATATCAATCCCTTCGCTTCATATTTTACTTAGCATACAACAATACGATAGCACCAGAAACGGTCGTCCGTTTGTGGGCGGGCGGACGTGGTGGCGTTCGGGTCGGTTTGCTGTAGCTTGATAGGGCCTTATAAAGGCACATTCCTTGGAAAAGGCGTTACGCAGCGCCTGCTTAGGGTCGCGATAATTCCGTCCTGCCAGGTGTATTAATCCTGCTCGTCTCAGGATTTATCGTGCCAACTATCCTTAATGACTCAAGAAGCAATGTCGGACGAGTTTCCCGTAGGCATCTTGCCAATAACCGCTACAGTAGGTACGGCTGCACGTATGTACACGTATATCCATGCAGCATCGCACCCCTTCATAACAGTCTCTTCTCTTCATGTGTTACTCCGCAAATTAAGCGATACGAGCATCAGGTACGGTCGTCCATTTGTGGGCGGGCAGACGCGGTGGGCGTTCGGGTCGGTATGTTGTAGCTTGATAGGGCCTTATAAGGGTATATTCCTTGGACAAGGCGTTACGCAGCGCCTGCTCAGGGTTGCGATCGTATTAATCCTGCTCGTCTTAGGGATCTATTGTGCCAACTGCCTTTAAATAATAGCGCTAACATTCTTCTACGAATAACGCAGTGAAACTCATCCCAATGTGGTTTCCTCTTGACTTAGATAAACTCATTTACCTTCTACACCATTTCCGCCTTCTTCACTCAACGTTGAATTGTGTTCCTCATCAACTTTCCTCCGCTTCATTTCGAGTGATTGGCTCTAATACGCAACTGTAGGTTCAACTTTGCTAATTAGTTTTAATTGAGTTAAACAACCTTTGGATATGCGCCAATGGAAGATGATGAACACAATATACAAATATATTAATACTTTATACGCAGATATGAAACGGTTAAACCGTAACTACGCTACCATTCTCACAGAGAAGAACAAACATCAAAGCGCAAAACCAAATCAAAACCTACCATTCAAATGAATCAAAGATATAGTCCCATCAATGACATACGAAATTTTTCATAACTACAAATAATTATCCCATTTAGAGTAACCATGAAAGAAACATAGCACACTATAAGCTACATGCTAAGCTATCAAAAAAGGTCGTATTCACATGAAAGCAATGTAAAGCAAAAAGCGAGAGAAGGCAATGATTAGAACTCTACTTGAGACCAGAAATCGTCCGCAGTGGATTTAGTAGTTGGAATAGAATCTTGGCTAACTTCATTATCATCCTCCTGTAATATGTAGACTTTCACTGCACAAAAAAACTTCAATCTTATCAAGAGCAAAGGTCACCAACCACAATGCCTTTGAAGGCGTTTTCCAATGCCTTTGAGGATGACGGTCGCATTTGGGCGGATATGGATTCTTGAAGTGCAGGAGAGGAAGAGTAAGAAGATTTCGATAAACAACTTAGCGTCTCACTGAAAACAAGTGTTTAGATGAAATAAGTGGCACTACCCTTTACTCTTTACTGCCCAATCTTCCAGATTCAAACCAGTGTTTTAGCGAGTCTGCGAAGACGGATTATATGTTTCCCAGGGCGCTGTTTGTTGACGGGGGGGGGGGGCATCTACCATTGCTCCCCAGGTTCAGGTTTACAGATGTCACTCTGGTAAAACTTGTGAAACTGGAGCAAGATCGTTTAGCTACCATCCTAAAACGTGTCAACTCGAGGACATCGACAAACTGCGCCATTTCCCAGAAGTAGTCTGACCCCGTGCTCACGAATTTCACATCCGCTTGTCCAGGCATCCACGCCCAACACCCTGAATCACTAAATTCGTTGTAAGCTTGCCCGTAGTGGTTGTTCGCCCTCTACACGTGCACCACATGCGCCCAGCCCGACACCTAAGCGCCACTAGCGGCGACACCACGTGCTTGTTTCGACTCTTGTGAATGTAACGCGAAATGTATGCAGTTTCGTACCAAGAAGTGCGCTAGGTGCCAAACCGCCTAGAGATATCCGCAGAACATGGGGAGGAGGGAGTGAAACACTCGCGAAGATTTTGGCGCCTTGGCACCTCTCCCCATGAATTCCAGGGTTTCCGTATCAGGATACTTGTCAGCAGCATGCCTTCCTCCTCCCTTCTTTTTTTTCTTCCTCCCTGCCTCTTTTCCCTCCTTTCACCTCTTTTCCACCCTCCTTTGCCTTCTCCTCTCAACTGCTTGGCTAGTAGATGCCATGACAAAATACCTCTGAAGCCTTCTAGCGAGAGCGTTTCCGGTTGACAAGAGCCCTGGAACCTCAATACGAAAATCGACTGACTTTGCCCAGTACGTTTTCCGAGAAGTGGCGATTGAGGAGACTCGCCGCCACTTTTCGGAAAACATACACAGGAATCGACTACAGTGAGCCGCGGATTTTCCGGTACGCAAAGTATAAACGCAGTATCCCGGGAAATAGGGTAATAAAATAAGTGGTCCACTATATCACTGTCGGCGCTAGTCCAGTATACCGGGGCATTATTAAGCAGAACAGCTAATAAACAGTACAGACGTAAATCTTTTATTGGGAACAGTCAAACTCCTTTCACTGCCCACGCTGGAGCAAAAATCATCCCCTAGATTGCGTTCCCTTACAGTTTCAAATCCCTTATGTTACCCAGCGTTCAACAAACTTCAGAAGTGGCATCTAATCGAAGCTCGTAACAATAAGAGGGTTCAAAGCCCCTTGCAACAAACTGGAATACCGCAGCCTCACTATTACACTAAACGCACCCGAACATTTTCCAATTATTGCGCATAAGGAAACAATATCTTTCGTAAACCTGAAAGCAGTAAAAGAAACAACCTCGAACTGATGGCTGACCGGCAAGATTGACTGCTCAAACGGAGAAGGCTATTTAACCGGAGACTGCTAACACCAGAACTTGATGTGCTAAAATGAGAAAGAAGTTCTTCCAAGCCTCTCACACACTTCACAAGTACAAGGCCATTCCTTAACGTACACACACTGGGAGGTGAGGCGAACACAATCCACCTTTTTTTAAACAAAAATGTCACTAACATCAATGAACCACGGCCAACTTATTTTTGACAGAAGCTATCAGGCCGCGTTAATAGTTGACACTTTGAAGAAATGGCGAAATTATAGGTAGTGTAGATTAGTAGTATCGATTTGAAGAACCAAGAAATTGGAAGAAATGCTGAATCTGCAGCAAAAAAGGGAAGCACAGGTATCAGTTTAAAGAAATGACAAATCTGCATAAATGCCGAAATTCCACAGGATCGGATTTCGCCCACAAATCAGTCCCCATTTCTTTGTCCGTCACTCGGCATTCCTTAAGATTGTACGGTTTATTCCCGATTCCACGGTTCTTCAAATCGACTCGCATACTTTCATCTTACCGCAGTTAAGCCATTTCTTCAAAGTCCTCCTGTATATTCAAAACGTGACTAAGCACTTCAAAAAGCGCGAAGATATGCATCGAAGTCAATGCACACGGTGTTAATTGTGCGTAATATAAGCTAGGTAGGTATCCGATAGAACAACCTGCACGCAGCTGAAAATCTGGAATTGTCGGACTGAGCCAGCATGGCGATATGATGCTCGAAAGATTCCAGGTCATCATCACTGTCATCTTCTTCATCACTATCGTCATCAGGTCCTTAATGAATATTATATTATTTAAAATAGCAAGCATTCTGCACTATATGTGAAAAAATTACTTATACATAGCGTTTCAATTATGTCTGGAAACAGAATTTACTCAGAAAACAAAGAGAACCAAAAGCTAAAGTACACAAAAACATATTAAACTCTCACAATGAATCAAAGTTAAGAAGCGTGCAATGTCGGTGATCATTTTTTGCAGAGAGCTATCTCCTTGGTTCATATAAAATTCTAAGGCTTCAGGGGTCGATTAGTACCTTTTCGAATATGCCGCGTATTCTACACTCATTCAGAGTCGAAGGGATGCTCTGAATCCATTGGTCCATGCAAACAGCTGCGGTGGCCAGCCAACGTAGAAATCATTATTTCTCATATTTCGAGGTAAGCCTGGCCAATTAACCTACCCCGGAGGGATGGGCTTGATTGGATCAGGACGGAACCAAATCAAAACTTGGTCCCCCACCCTTTGCGTGGTAAACTTCGTCTTTGTTATCGCACCAATACTGCCCTTCTCATTTCATGTAATTTTTACGGATACGGACTGAATTCTCACCTCTGAAAATAGGCTCACTATCCGACCAAAAGCTGCAAAGATTGAGCAACTCATTCATCACCATAGCATCGTCTTTTCCTAATTCTTCTTCACAACCACTGCAATAACAGTATTACTGTGAGATATAAAACCGTCTTCAGAGTTCAGGCTTGATTGCGCATATTTAGCAAGAAATTTCGTTTTGGGAAACTTTGATCTCCTGACGAATATCACTTAAGTTCATCGTCAAACATACAAAACCACACTGGCTGAAAATATGTTGCTGAAACCTCCAGAACACGAATGACTACGTTATTTGGCGCAAAAATGCCCCATTCCCGTGCTACTGGGACCGCTTCTGAACCAGCCCTGTGGCGCCAATCCCTTTAACGGCCGTTTACAGAGAGAGACCTTACCCTGGGTGGGGAGGGGGGCAAATTCATGGCAAAACACACAACAATGACAAGCCTCGATGAAACTTCAGCCCAAATTCAGAAGAGTGAAAACAAAGTAAGGTAGCGTGCATAGACCCTTCCTCACCCAGACCCTTTCTGCGAAGTTTTTGCATAATTCTAGGAGGGGCCCAATAACCATCTGTAACCGCGGGAGACGACACTAGTGGACGCATCGCCTGATGAAACAATGGTGGCTAAATTACCTATCGGAGGAAAGGTAGCTCTCAGTGGGGCTACAATCAAGGATGAATGTGACCGTAAAGTCCCATGAGCAAGAATAGCTAATTACTAATTGGAACGCTCATAAGTACTATACATCAATCACTCACAATGTTCTAGCTAGCGAGTTCCATGCCATGCCTTTTTGCCTAAGGAAAGTTGACGTGGACATAGTACTCGGCCCCACATCGTGGACTTCCAAGTCATCATTGAAATGAACACCCTGAAACATTTGGAAGATGTAATGACATGTAAACATTAAAGGAACAAATCCACTATTCACCCTTCACTTCCCTTTTGTCGATTTTCAGGCCAGTTTTGACCACAATTTCTCCGGAGGTATAATTGCGTAAAATTTGCTTCCGAGGGAGTCGTTTCA